TGTGTGTGTGTGTGTGTGTGTGTGTGTGTGTGTGTGTGTGTGTGTGTGTGTGTGTGGGGGTGCGGGTGCGGGTGCGGGTGCGGGTGCGGGTGCGGGTGCGGGTGCGGGTGCGGGTGCGGGTGCGGGTGCGGGTGCGGGTGCGGGTGCGGGTGCGGGAGCGGGTGCGGGTGCGGGTGCGGGTGCGGGTGCGGGTGCGGGTGCGGGTGCGGGTGCGGGTGCGGGTGCGGGTGCGGGTGCGTGTGCGTGTGCGTGTGCGTGTGCGTGTGCGTGTGCGTGTGCGTGTGCGTGTGCGTGCGCGCGCGCGGGCGTGCGTGGTGCGTGGTGGGGGTGCGTGGTGCGTGGTGCGTGGTGCGTGGTGCGGGTGCGTGGTGCGGGTGCGGGTGCGGGTGCGGGTGCGGGTGCGGGTGCGGGTGCGGGTGCGGGTGCGGGTGCGGGTGCGGGTGCGGGTGCGGGTGCGTGTGCGTGTGCGTGTGCGTGTGCGTGTGCGTGTGCGTGTGCGTGTGCGTGTGCGTGTGCGTGTGCGTGTGCGTGTGCGTGTGCGTGTGCGTGTGCGTGTGCGTGTGCGTGTGCGTGTGCGTGTGCGTGTGCGTGTGCGTGTGCGTGTGCGTGTGCGTGTGCGTGTGCGTGTGCGTGTGCGTGTGCGTGTGCGTGTGCGTGTGCGTGTGCGTGTGCGTGTGCGTGTGCGTGTGCGTGTGCGTGTGCGTGTGCGTGTGCGTGTGCGTGTGCGTGTGCGTGTGCGTGTGCGTGTGCGTGTGCGTGTGCGTGTGCGTGTGCGTGTGCGTGTGCGTGTGCGTGTGTGTGTGTCGTGTGTGTGTTCGTGTGTGTGTTCGTGTGTGTGTTCGTGTGTGTGTTCGTGTGTGTGTTCGTGTGTTCGTGTGTGTGTGTGTGTTCGTGTGTGTGTGTGTTCGTGTGTGTGTGTTCGTGTGTGTGTGTGCTCGTGTGTGTGTTCGTGTGTGTGTTCGTGTGTGTGTGTGTTCGTGTGTGTGTTCGTGTGTGTTCGTGTGTGTTCGTGTGTGTTCGTGTGTGTGTTCGTGTATGTTCGTGTGTGTGTTCGTGTGTGTTCGTGTGTGTGTTCGTGTGTGTTCGTGTGTGTTCGTTTGTGTTTGTGTGTGTGTTTGTGTGTGTGTGTGTGTGTGTTTGTGTGTGTGTGTGTGTGTGTTTGTGTGTGTTTGTGTGTGTATGTTTGTGTGTGTTTGTGTGTGTTTGTGTGCGTTTGGGTGCTTTTGGGTGCGTTTGGGTGCGTTTGGGTGCGTTTGGGTGCGTTTGGGTGCGTTTGGGTGCGCGTGGGTGCGTGTGGGTGCGTGTGCGTGCGTGCGCGCGCGCGTGCGCGCGCGTGCCTGCGTGCCTGCGTGCCTGCGCGCCTGCGTGCGTGCGTGCGTGCCTGCGTGCCTGCGTGCGTGCGTGCGTGCGTGCATGGGTGTGTGTGTGTGTGTGTGCGTGTGTCTGCGTGTGCCTCCTGTGTGTGTGTGTGTGTCTGCGTGCGCCTGCGCGTGTGTGCGTGTTTATGCGTGTTTATGTGGGGGGTTGTACAAACATACTTTGCCTGGGGACACCCCCAATCGCGGAGCAACGTTGGGGATCGCTGCTACTTCTGTTTGAAGAAGGAAGAGACGTAGCTCGGATGGGCAGGGGCTCACTGGCGGAACTCGCCCAATCGCCGTCCAATCGCCGTCCGATCGCAGTCCAATCGCGGAAGCCGGCGTTGAAACTTCGGTTTGCAGCTTCCAGCCCTTGCCAGCAGGCAGATTTGGAAAGCACTAACGCAACTAACATTCAGGACTCTTTTTGCTCGAGCCCGCGCAGTCAAAATCAGCAAGACGTGCGTCGGCACCATGCAGCGTCTAATCTCATAAGAAGCTTTGTTGCCCTTTCGCCGTCCAATCGCCGGCCATTCGCGGCTAGAGTTTTGCCAATCGCGCGGTTCAACAAGTTGCAAAGTGTTTCATAGATTTGAGACATACAACGGACGGCGCCCATGTGTACGTGGGTGATGCATCTTTGTATGTGTCTATGCCTGTCCGTCTGTTTGTGCCTTTTGCGCTGTCTTGCTGTCAGTCTGTCTTGCGCTAGTGACAACCATGCAGCCCTTGCATCGTTTGGTCACGCTGGCAACCCCTTGCCTTGGCATCGATGCTCACCAGTGACTTTGTGAATGGCCTCCGACAAAAGGGCGCTCCAAAAACACGCAGGAAGTTTGAACAGCGCATTTCAACGAGCGGCCTGAACCGATGTCACATGCAGGTGGGCCCGTGCCAAACACACGACACGGACAATACAATACTTGCTTTCGCGACTGGGAAGAGATAAATTGACTTGCCTCGAGATGCCTTGAGAGTAAAGGTATTCCACATCAAGCCGCAATGTCCTCCCTTACCGTGGGTGAGCAAAATCACGTTTTATCCGCAACAAGGAAGATCAAGCAACATTGTCCACGAGCCGCACAAAGTCTAGGTACTTTCTGGCGCTCGCGAGGCCCGCTGCGGGTACCAAGCATATCTTCCGAGCCTTGGCCAACACTTGGGGTTTCAAACGCACCCGTTTGCCAGGCAAAAATAAACCCGCGCATCCCGGAGCAGCGCCTGCGACGGGGTTGCTTCACCCGGGGCATGGCCGGCGGCCGCGGCACGCTCAGCACGATGCTCTGTGGCACAGAGAAGGCCAAGGGTGCGGACAGCGGGAGGCAGTCCAGCGGAAGGAGCGAGGGCCTGACGGCAATGAATGGATGCAAACTTCGTCCAGGTGTGAACTTGGTTTAAAGGGAAACCACAAGCCAGCACAATCGCATGTTTTTGGATCCCCTGTGTCGACACACGCTGATAATATGAGTGCATAAACCGGTGGTTGTGCGACCAGCTTTCACATGGGGTGTGTGTTTTGAGCGTGCGCTTTTCAGAATGGCTTAAAGGTAACCAACCGGAAAACGCCACCATTTTGGGGAGTCCGAATCCCGAGTTTGGCGCGTCACATACCCCTATGCTTTCGCCGGCCTGGCCAGGTCCTGGTAAGGGCACAGCAGCTTCCGGGCCGCCTGCACCCTGCTCCGGGCGTAGCTCTGAGCGGCCAGGCACGGCCCCGGCTTCTCGAAAACTTGGGCCTCAGCTCGAGCCAGGCGTCGTTTGCTCGTTTAGAAAGCGGCATGGCACCCACAAGTTCCATTTTGCCCTGGGCCATCATCCATGTTGACCCTCAATTTGTTCAAGAACCACCGAAAAAAGACCGAGCTAGGCGACTCTGTGAACGCCAAAGGCGGGGCCAATGTGGACGTTCTGTGTAGCATTTTGACATCCTCGCATGTGCCACAGGTGCTAGGAAACCAAACCAAGAGAGAAAAAGAAAGAAAGAAAAAAAACAACAAAAAGAGAAAACAAGAAACCGAGAGAGAGAGAGAGAGAGAGAGAGAGAGAGAGAGAGGGGCAACAAGGGAGGGAGGGAAGCAGAAAAAGAAACATTTCGCCTGACTGCAGCCCTGGCCCATGCAACAATAGCAGCTGAGTGGCCTCCCCGGACAAGGCGCCATCCAGCAACCTGCATACATACCTGGGTGCATGTTTGCTGAGGATAGCCTATTCAAATGCCCCCTATTTGTGAGACAAGCCCCGCTTGGCAATCGGCTGGGGTCTTCAAACCAAAGCGCAAGCTGGCGAACTCTAACGAGCTCAAATTGCTAAGATCCATGGAAACCTTCTCTAGTCGCAACGGCATTGGATGATGTGACAGGCACAACCGCACCTGTGGCGCGCAACGGGGAAACCTTCGCGCCTGGAAATGCCCCCACAGGCATTCCCAACATATCTAAAGCAAGTGCATACAAATTGCTCAAACTTTGGGACCCCAGCGGGTTGGTGTCCTAATTCCTCGGGTCTAACTCGTTTCCAGATCCGATCCGCAGCCAGGAAGCTGGAAGAAGTTGCTCTTCACCGGGCGCCTGTGGGCCGCAGGGAGGCTTGGAGGCTTGGAGGCTTGGAGGCTTGGGCCAGCCGCCTTAAACCATAGCTTGGCCAAAACTTTCTCTTGTTGAAGCAACCTTTTGGTTCCCTTCAAAAGGGGCCGGGGGCTGGTTGTTCAAACAAATGTTGCTCCACCTTGATCGCGAGTCTCCAGGTCGAACGTGGCAACTGCACAGGCAACACGCAGCTGAATCCCGGCCCACAGGGACATAAACCGGGCACCGAAGAAATTTAGAAGCTTGACGCGCATTTCTGGACATCCAGGAGTCGTCATGGTGCCTGAAACTAATCATGAACTCCAACCTGACCCTGTAGTGGACACATATCTGGTGCTAGGTTTCAACTGGTCCACTGTTGTCCGTCTGTAGTCCCAGACTTGTCCATGCTATGCTCCTTTTAGCCACAGATGACAGATGGTTTTCACTTCATGGCATGTGACGGCATTGCCAAACTGATGCACCAATATCCCAGTACCCTCGCAAGCTCAAATCCGGCAAGCTTGTGCTTCCCAGAAAACTGACCCAAGCCCAACATGAAACTACTGATTTCATTTTGGAGGACCACTACTAGCTCCAATGATGTTATGATTCCGGGCTGCAACGGCTCCTGCGTCTGGACCCCCATTCCCGAGCCTTCCCCAGGGTCTGAGACGGTCTCAGTGCCTTCTCAACTTTCTGCCGGGGCACTTCTTTGGGGGGGGGAAGCGGCAAATTCAGAGGGGCAGGCGCGTCCAGACCCAAACCCACGTGAAGCTCCGCAAAGTGCCACCAGGCGGCACGAGCTCCCTGGGCTCTGGCTCGCTGAGCTCGCTGAGCTCCTGGGCGCGCCAGCATGCGTTATCTACACACATCTGTTAACCTTTTGGCCTCTGGTACTTCCATCTGCCCGAAACTCGTGTGAAAGGCTGCAGAAAGAACAAACAAACATCAAACATGCAGGAACACGATTCAACGCAAAGTACCATTCCGAAAGAACATTAAAGTGTACAAGGCTTTCAGAAAGATTCGTTCCCTTGGGGACAGTGCAAAATGCTCGGTTTGGCAGCTAAACAGATGGCCTTCTCGTCGTCGAAGTCTTCTGGGAAGAAGTCAACCACGGCCGCCTGGGGCGCTGCCAGCATTCAAATCCTTCTGTGTCAAACCGAGGGTTGAAGTCATTGCCTTCAGCGGCTGACTTGGAGGTTGACAGTAGCTCCCCGTGAAGTCATGTTCTTTGAGGAAGGGTTCAATGTTGCTAGGTCAGGTGGGATGGTATGTCGAATGAACTGGGAGAATGGGATGAGTGGCTTGCACCTTTCATGCGTTGCAGGGCTTTGGCAAGCTCCTCTTGCTACAACTAAAAAGTACGCCATCGCTTGACCAACCGCAGGCTGAAACGGTGAGCATAGCAACCTCAAGGACGACTCAGTTCGGGCGAGCTGTCCACAACCAACACTTGGCCCTTTGACTAAAGTAATAGGCCCCGTTTGCTCAGGTAAGGGTTTTGGACTTCTTCGCCGTCTTGTTCCCACGGAATCAAAATGCAAAGCATGAAGAAACACAGTGTGACTTCCAGCGCCCAGCTGAAATCTCTGAAGCGATGCCTCGTCAGGAGCATCAACCAACACGTCGTCCACAAAGTCATCCACTGCCTTGCACAGCACGGCCATGCTGAAGCTGTTTGACCAATGATGGTACCAGTCTCCAAAGCACGTGCAGCATGACCAAGGGATGACCTGAAATTGATGACTCCAGTCTGGCCGCGCGCCCTGCAAAACTTGAAGCTGTTCCCGGGACCCTTCCCTGAATGGCGCTGTTCGAGCTGCATTTGCAAAGCTCATTAGTGGTTCCTTTCAAAACAATGTGTGAGGGCATCGGCAAGCCAGAAGAGCGCCTCTTCCAGCACAGAAGATACAAAGCTTCGCACCTGGCGAAAGTGGTGCGCCCATCAAAGGCGAATGTCTTTAGCCAACCGCTGCTGTGACAGTGTTCCGGTGTGACAGCTGGTTTGGAGCCATATAACATTGATGAGCAGCTACTATTGGATGCATGCAACAAGGCGAGGAAAGGAACCATTTAAATTCAGAAACTTTTTTGTACAAAGCCGTGCAGAGACATTTCAGAGCTGTCCCACAGCAGCTACTTCCACTCAAAACATCCCACCAGTCAGTGTCCTCATCTTTTTGCGGAGGGGGGCTCAGAATGCTAGCATGAGACCCCCTGGCCGCGGCCGTGCCTGAAAGTCCATAGTAGCACGCAGCCAATTTGACTGGACAGCTACTCTCAACTTGAGACAAAGCTCTGCGTGACGCGCTGTGACGCATTGCAAATGGGCGCTCGAGCTTTCCAAGACTTGGCCAAACTCCAGAGTTGCCGACGGTTGGGTGCCTTGCCAAGTGCCAAGCGAGGGCCACAAGAAATGCATGCCTACATCTTCCAGCAAACTACGACGGGTCGTCTGGCCCAACCACCCGGATGGGACCTCACGCAGTGCCCTTTGAAAACATGCTTTCAAGACAACATCAGGGTCGACGTCGCCGGCCGCCTGATCCTGATGAGGCCCCTGAAATTGCACTGTCGACAACACTGACCACACACTTCCTAGGGCCCCCGCCCGTGCTTTCGAGCAAAAGCGGCTGGGAAAACTCACCTGTCAGGCGTCATTTGACACGACCTCGAAACTAGGCAGGCATACCAACACGCCATGCCGGCTTGCTCAGGACTCAGGTCTGTCTTTTTAATTTTCTCTGAGAGCGTCCTTTTTGAGTCAGCTACCTTCTGGCAACCAGCTGGATAACAAAAGCCTTCCGGCAACTTGCACTTGCTCTCAGAGCCCAAAGCCAATTCACTCTTGGCTCTGCTAATGCAAGTTGGTTGCAACAGCTCATATGCCCTTGTGATCCCAAAGCTAGGGAGCAGAACCCTTCCAGCAATGGCCCACAGGATGCAGAGTTTGCTTAGCCCATCCAACCAGTAGCCTCAGGCCGCAGTATTGTCGAACGCGAGTCGAAACAACAAAACCAGAGCCGTAGCACCCCTCCAAAAAGAAAAGACCACACCCACACGCCCACAAGAGCACTCTGCCAACACCACGCAATCGATTCTCGCAACACCATTTGACCACGGTCAGAATATGCAGTCCCCGACATGTGAATGAGACCCCATCGTGCTTTGCAGGAAATTGAGCTAGCTAGTTTACCCCAGGTCCCTCCTGCATTGACCACAAACTCGCCATGTTTCCGGAACCTCGTGCAAGCCATGGTCAAGACTCCCCATGTCGGCCATGGCCATGGCCATGGTTCTTTGAACATGCCTTGAACACGAACCATCGCAATGCTCCAAGGGTTCCATCATCATCCCTACCAAGCCGTTTTTTTGGTGCCAAATGACCCAACCTCATGCGCCAAGTTCCGCCCTCGCCACACGCCTTGTGGCAACCTCAACCTTATGGAAGGTCCGCTGGGCAAAACCTCGTGTGGCGAAATTGATAAGTTGACAGGTTCCTTGAGGGTCGTTTTCAGTTGGTTCTTCTGGGTCAATAGTGAAGCCTCACAATGTACACGGTGGTTTAAATCGAACCCGCCCCCCCCCCCAGTTTGAGAACCCCTCAAACATGTCCGATTTCAGGGACCCAGTTGTTGGTGTGACCTTTCTAAAAAGGCGCTGAGGGCTTGTTGGAGTCAGAAACTGTGGCCGCTTCTTGTGAAACTCCCCTCTTCTGGCGCTATCCCTCGAGCCTCTGGCAAGAAGCAATCCAGCTGAGCACAAAGCATGGCTCCCATTTTCAGAATGGTGAAGGAGTTGGGCAACGGACTTCCGGCGGCTTTCAACAGCTAGCGTCTCTGAGCAACCCTGGCCCCTGGAATAAGGCATAAACGGGCATAAGGAACCCAAGCTTCAACTTGCGGTCTTGACTTGCTTTTCAACCACAGACTGGGACACGAAACAGCGGGAACACCAGGGATGCAAAGGAGGCACATGTCCCAACTATTCTTCAGTTGCCCCGTGGCCTTAACAAACAAATGAGTCCCACATTTGGCTTGTTCCTGTAGAAGCCAACAGGGTGAAAGAAGGAGAAGGGGCTGCGTCTGTGAAACGAATGCGGGCAGCCCGGGCAAATGTCAGGGCCCCACACCCAGTCATCCAATGGCTCCCACAAGGACCCAGTCGGCTGCACGGTCAGCATGGAAGAACCTCAGCCGGCCTTTGGCTGTCTGATGTTGTGGAAATAGCCTATGCACTTGCGACCCAATGATCAAGCGGCAATTTAATCGACAAGCAAATGCCATGCCTCATTGGCACAGCCTGCCAAGCCAAACAAAGCAACCTGACCTCTTTTGCCGTGGCCCGCCCCTCCAGTTGGAGCCCCTATCTATCAACTCTGTGAGTTTCTGTGCAAGCGGTGTGCAAAGGCTCTCTGCGGAAGCGTTGTACGAAGTGTATACGTGCAAAGGTCAACCTCAAGGTGAAAGGGGATGCCTGGATTTTGCCCAGGTCGACGCGAAGTTCCAACATCTCAGCCAAACCTAAAATAAAGTCTTCCTAGGACAGGAGCCTTTGAGTTTGCCCAAACAGGCCGGCATTCGCATAAAATGCGTACATGTTTCACTTACTTGTGACCACAGGCTTTGCCTCCGCTGAGTAAGAGTATAGTTTGAGTAATTTCCAAGGTGCACAGGGTGGGTTTGGGTTTGTTTAGGGCATGTTGCGTTGGCTTGGGTGGCTTGCTTAGACTGTCCGGCTTCAAGTTTTACAGCGTGGGTTGCGCGGCTTGTGTCAGGGTCCCGAGTTATTATAGGGTTGTTTTCGGATGGGCTTGGTGGTTGAGGACGGATGACGATTCAGGGTTTGTGTTGGGCCTTCGGGCCAACACCGACGAAAAAGGTCACAGGTGAGGACCAAAAGGCAGTCATCCATGGGTGGCTTTGAACAAAACCAGGATGGCAGGCACCCAGGTTCTTCCAATACTTGTCATGTCCAAACACCATGAACGCATAACAAAGCGAAATGTCTCCCTGCCTTACCTATTGTTTGCTAGTCTGCATTCGCAATGCACCCGGGCACCCACCACTCAGGCTTGCCTGTGCTTCGCACCCGCTTAGAACTACTTAGGACGCGGCGGTGCAAGCATCACGCAGCAGGCTCAAATGGAATTGAGGACCATGCCATGGAACTCCAGCTCCAATGGGAACTCGCAAATGTTCACAACCTCAGCTACGCTCCTGTCAATGCATGAGGGTCCAAGCGTGATTTGGCGAGCATGCCAAGCCCCGAATATGGCCTTACCTTAATATGTTGCGTGTTGATATGTGCAGCAATCAAGGATCGACTGCTCCCATAACCAGAAAGTCACATTCGCTGACAAGCCTTTCTTTTCTTGTGTTGACAACAAAAACCTTCCAAACTTAAAAACAACACGGATAGAACACCCTTCCAAACCTCAAAAAACCGGACAAAACACGAGGTATTTGCTTAAACCAACACCTGCTCTCTGCCACCTTCACCTGGGGGCTGACCCGGTAGCGTGCGCCGCTGGCCCAGCAGGAGCGAACAACCCCTGACCGCAGTGGAAACAAGGGGGTGGTCTGAGGGCTTTTTCCGTTTTTCGAGGGAAACCGTTCTCTTTCTGGGGTTGACATGGGTTGACCATTCTTTGAGGGGAAGCCACCAAAAAGAAAGGTAGAAAGGGAGCCACTGAACGGCAACAGGCCACCATGTCATTACCAGCAATTGTCTCGCTCACCAGCCTTCCTGCTGGCTGGCCCTGGGATAGGAATCGAACAGAACGCACATCTCAAGGCAAATCGGCCGACATGCGCATTTGAACATGTCAAGCATGTGTCGTCAATAAGGCACACAGCTCGAAAACAAACCAGTCAGGGACTTGGTCGGATCTGAACATGCCAGACTTGGTGACTTTGCAGGAGCCCAGGTCAGGCAGCCCAAAGCACAAAGCACAAATGCAGAGCACACTTCAGAGCTGGGGAGTCGGAGGACGGCGACCCACAAGTTAGCTGGGTTTTGGATGGGCACGTTGCCAGCAACTCTTCAAACTTGAAAACTGACTGCTCCTGATCTGAAACCATACCGGGCTCTCCGAAAAGAAAAAAACAACTGAGGATTAAGACTGACCCCCTTGTTTCGTTGCTCTCAGAATCCTTGCGGGGAGCGAAGTGACTTTTCAATTTTGATGTGGATTGAGCTTAGCTGACGCCCAAAATTCAGTGGCTTTGTGGTCTGAAACCTTGGCCCCTTGGCTCCTTAGCCCGTTGATCCACCAAGTACCGCTAGATTGGTTCCATTGTTTTTGTTGGCCCCCCCTTTTGGATCGGGACCCGCATGAGCAAAGGAGGCCCAACGCGTTTGACCCATGTCGCGGCTTGGCCGTGCACCTGGGCCAATTCAACCAATATTTGCCCAGGCGCGCAGCAAAGGCTGGCAGCAGCCCAGCCTGAGGCAAGCTGTGGCAGTGTCTGGTAGTTGATTAAACCACCAGGTAAATTAGGGCCATCTATCTTTCTACCAAAACAACCAAAAAGGACACCTGTGTTCACAATACTGTCCGATCATCACACAGTAACCCCGCCCCAAATTCTAGTTGTTCAGCCCTTGTCGTCCCCAATGCTCATAGCAAGAAGTGTCTCCCATATGTTTTGTGGAAACAATTGAGTGCAAAGGAGCCCTTCGCAAACAAGGAAGTGGCATTGGGGTGACACCACGAAGCCGGACAAAATGCACACCAGAAGGAACGCATCGACACATCTGGCAAGAAGTCAGCAGGTGAGTGCTACATCAGGCTGCAGGGCGACCACACACACACACACTGCACATGAAAAGATGAGTAAGGCAAAGCACGCCAACTTCATGGCTGCGCTGCTGGGGCCCCAGCAATTGTCCGCACCATGCTCGGGGTGATGTTGACCTTTGCGGGACTTGGCAATTGCAGTTCCTGCGGGCTAGCTGCAGCAAGAGTCAGTTAATTGGCAGGCATCCTGATGCTGGCATCTAGTGCTAAATGACAACCTGCAATGGTCCAATGGCAACTTGGGGGCGATGATGTCCAAAATAGTCATTCCCAAAGCTGAGCTCCAAGCGAGCAAAGGGCTGTGGCCGCTGAGAACTACATGCAAAGCATGACCTCGCGGGCAAACTTGGCCACTTGCACTACAAGGCAGCCCAAGCCTGATGATCCGTCTGGAGAACTCGTCACCTGCACGGTCAAAAGCCGCATGTCATGTCTCCAAAGTGATGCCCGGGAAGACGCCACTTGCGAACGCGCGTGAATACCGGCCTCTCAAAGACC